GCCATTTTTTTCTCGCGGTTTTCTCTCGTTTCACGCACGACGGACTAAGCGAAAGAGGGGCTACTCCGTCGTGGTCTAGAACTGGCCCACAGCAAGACAGCCCAGTCCCCAGTGGCTTTCAACTTCTTTTCCAGTGTATCTCTTCTCCCCCCACCCTCCCCCCTCCACGCCTTGGCTGAGCTTAGAACGCCAATTGCCTCGCTTTCTCCCCTACTTTTCGACCGGCTTAGCTTTTCCTCTTGCCGGTTTAATTTCAAGTTTTTCGCGTCGACTACCTAATAATCGTGCCTGGGGCTCATTTCTCGAAAGCCCCGGAAACTTTTCGGGCCCGTAAAGCCATAACAAAATCTCGAACCTTACGATTACAGAGCTGTTTTATTCATTATATTCTTAATATGAAGAGAAGTTCCCTTCATACAAGAAGTTTCAGGCGTATACACTTCTCCGTTTTTAGATACAGATGGACTAAAAATGGTTTTACGGGCCCGAAAAGGTTTCCGGGGCTTTCGAGAAACGGGCCCCTGGTTCGGTAAGAATTCCCTTAACATGAGTCGCCCGTGAAGTGAACGGCTTCAGATTAATATGGCGAAGCGCTGGCTACCTCGTTCCCAGGGCCGCTCTTTGCTACTTCTGATCTCTAAGGGGAAAGCCCTGGGAACAAGGTTGAGTGCGAAAGAATGGGTGAGAGATTCCATTGCACGTCGGATAGTCCACCAGCAGGATGGTATTGTAATAAAATTTAATTTTTATATAGGCCAAATTTCTTAAAGGAAGAAACATCAACTGCGCTTCACATGGATCAAAGACAAAAGACTGAAAGTAAAGTATCCATGAAATCCTACATTTTTTTGAATATCCTTCATTTTGTAGTTTCTGAGGAAGATGGTCACATTCGTCAATCATGATCAGTGTCTCCTGTTACGAGTCATCCTCTCTCAAGAATATGCACGTAGAGCAGGACGGAGGCCGAGCGCAGTGATTAGCTGAATAATCTATGAATAATGACATTAAATGACAGTAAAATTCGCTGGCAGAATGTTCTGACTTTCGTCACTCGTTCTGAAGGAAACAAAAGTCTACAGTAACTAAAATTGTTGCTGTCATTAACTCACATCGATTTTGCGGCACCGTACGCGTTTCTAATAGTCTCGTACGCGTTTTCCCGGCCGATCCTATTACTTCGACGCGTACAGCCCTTATACAGGACTGTTTTTCTTATGAGTCTAACACACTTACTATCAACCACCAGTCCCCCAGGGAGAGGGAAGAGCCTTTGCGACAAAAACTGAGTCACTGACTTAATGCTGAACCTGTATTAAACGTCCTAAGGGCCAGAAACTATCATCATTTGAAACCAATTATTTGTTAATATTAGACGGCGGTATGTAGCCCTATGTGGTGTCCTTACAGTTAGTGCCGATTCGGGATAAAGTGGTCCAGGTTCGAGCCCTGGCCGGGAACATTGTGTCGTGTGCTTTGGGCAAGACACTTGACTCTCACAGTGCCTCTCTCCACCCAGGTGTACAAATGGGTACGTACAGGCGAATTTAATTCTTGTGGTAACCCTGCGATGGATGCAATAGCATCCCATCCAGGGGGGAGTAGAAATACTCCAAGTCACTTCATGCTACAGAAATTTGGGATAAGCTCCAGCCTGGTGGGCCACTTGGTTCATAGTCACACGTTTCTCTTTGTCTTATCTTTAGTTTCAATACTCCCAGAGAAGAGTCCATTTAATGTAGACAATGTCAGAGTTGCAAAAATTTTGGTGAGTTTTCAGCTTGTCATGTACTGGTGTACCATTAATTAATTAGACCTATCAATGAAATAACAGAACAAATGTACTTTGATGATAAGTTGCATGAAGAAATGCCTTATTGTTAGTTACTAGGGCCTCAGGAAACAGGGAACCATTTGCACTTAAGATCCTGAGGTACTGTTACAGTAACATGTGATGATGAACTTTCAGGGCAATAATAAGTAAAATTCTGTAGTGATATTTCTAAACAATTAGTAAAAGTAATTTTTGGTACAACTAGTCAACTCCTTCACGCAGTAGGATTGTGATTTCCCTTTCTTATCTGTGTGTTAAAGGGCTCAGGTATCCACAGTTCAGAAGTAGTTTCAGGAATGGTGTTCAAACGAGAGGTTGAGGGTGATGTCAAAGCACTGAGAGATGCCAAGATTGTAGCATTTTCATGTCCACTGGATTCAATGAACACAGAAACCAAGGTCAGTTGAGTTAAAACAGTTGGGCAGTTTTTTTTTTTTTCTTCTTTTGTGAGGGGGAAGGGGAATTTGACTTCCTTCCTGTGATGATCACATACTTGATGCCTAGAATACATAGCTAATGATTCATGTTTACTAAAATTTTCAAATTGTTCATCACATAATTCAACATAGGGAACAGTTCTCATCAGAAACGCAGAGGAGCTGAAGAACTTCAGCAAAGGAGAGGAAGAGCAGCTAGAAAAGGTCAGTCATCTCCATCAAATTTCTTGTCACTGTTTTGCACACATTTTCTGTTGTTCACTTTGGAGAATTTTGACTTTTAAAGCAAAGATGCTTCACCTTAGATGGCCAGGTCATCATTGTAATGCCCTGCATCCTTGAAATGTTAAATTATTACATGTAATATGTGGAATTATTATATGGCTTGTATTTAATTAGTAGCCGATATCACATGCTCTCTGATTGGCTAATTCTAGGGCATTATTCTCCCATACAACCCAGTGGCCGATTATGGCCCTGCAAAACCATTTAGCAAAAAGCCATAAAATCAACAACTTATTGACCGCAATGTTTTGGCCGTTACGGGAAAATCTCAAACCTTGGCCTTGCCATATTGGCCTTGCCATATTGACCTTGCCAACACTTGGTCAATACGGCAAGGTATTGGTTTGAGATTTTCCTGCAAAGACCCCACTCTCCGTTAATAAGTAGTTATTAATGAGTCAAAGGAACTAAATTTTCAGTAATGCTTTGTTTTGCTAAGGTTTGCAACATTTTAAAACCTAAGTTTTTGTCTTTTTTTTCAGGAAATCAAGTCCATTGTTGACACTGGTGTTAATTGCATTGTATCTGGTGGGAAAGTTGGCGAGATGGCTCTTCACTTTTGTAACAAGTTTAATATTCTAGTAGTGAGGTTAGTTTAGATTTCAGGTTCTCTCTCTGTTAGTTTTATTTCTGGGGGAATGACTATACTCCCAATGCTTCCATTAAAAGCCTATTTTGAAACTTCCAAACCCTCTAAATACCTATAAACTGATTTCATTTTCTTTTGGTTGGATGGAGGTGTAAGTCAATGTACATTATTCAAACTTCTTTAGAGATGTATAGTGAGAATAATTATTTGAATCACTCTTTTGCAGGTTAACCTCGAAGTTTGACTTGAGAAGGCTATGTCGATCAGTTGGTGCAATCATACTTCCAAAATTTGTAAGTTTCCTTTTTTTGACAAGTTCCTGTAGATTTTATGAGGTATTGGAAGAACTCATAAAGTGGATGTACAATTCAGAGATGTTATGAAATACTTTAGTAAGCTGTAGTTACTGAAATATTTCCACAACAGTGAAAGCTACTTTGCATCTAACCTGTGAAGACTTGTGAATATCAAGTGATTTTGTCAAAGTGAAATGAAATAATCTGTTTATTGTAACTATTTATTAACTACAAAGAAAGCGCTTGTAAGCAGCCATCTCTTGGACTTTAAAACAGTGATCATAACTGGAGCTGGCCCCTTATAAGAATGAAATCTTTTTAGTGACTTCTCACTTAAAAATTAAAATTTGTCAAATCCAAAGCTTACAGAAGTACATGTAGGTGCTTGCAGGAGCATTCAATTACAGAGTATCGTAACGCAAATAGAGAGAGTTTCTGAGGGGACCTTATCACTTAGCGGAGTGTTCGTGAAAAGAGCTTCCACTATAATTTATTCAAATAATGTGGTTTTTTTTGTTGAAAAAAAAAAAAACAGTATTGTTCTTCTTTCTCCCTTCAGACTACCCCTACTGCGGAGGAGATTGGTCATTGTGATGAAATCAGGGTGTCTGAGATTGGAGGCACCTCTGTCACAATTTTCAAACAAGGTACTGTTTGGGTGACATATTGTTCTGCCATAAACGTACTTGCAAAAACTGAGTTCTTTCTCTGGCTGTTGTTGTTAAACTCAGTCTTGCCAACCAACCAATCAATCATCAATCAATCAATCGATCGATCGATCGATCGATCAATCAATCAATCCATCGATCAATCAGTCAATCAATCAATCGATCAATCAGTCAGTCAGTCAGTCCGTCCGTCCGTCTGTCCGTCCGTCAGTCAACCAATCCATAAATCAATCGTTTATTAATACACGTAGCGCTCAGGCGCTGAACGGCTCATTTAAATCCAAAAAAGATACAAACACAATTATATTCAACTATAGGATTAACTCTAAAACTGAAGCGTCGTGCATGGGCTAACCAACCAGAGAAGATTTGAAATTTCTTGAACCAGTCAGTAGCAATTGTAACTGAGCTTTATTTACTTAAACCTTTAACTCGGTTTTGGGACAGCCATAAAAAAACTCAGTTGAAATCCTAAAATTGACGGATTTCATCTGTAGTACTAATAAGCGGATGACATAAAATTACTGTCAGCAAAACGACTAAATAAAATTCGAAGTCTTGAAATTCTCTACTTACTTGTTTTCAGAGCGCGAAGAGACTGCTGTATCCACTGTGGTCATTCGAGGTTCAACTGAAAACATCATGGATGATGTGGAGCGAGCTGTTGATGATGGCGTGAACACGTTCAAAGCTCTCACTCGTGATGATCGCTTTGTACCAGGAGCCGGCGCCACTGAAATCGAACTCGCTAAACAGATATCTAGCTTTGGAGAGGTATGTTGACTGACTAGCACTCTCCACCCGCCCCCATCCCAGCGTCCTTGGCACAGTTCTTTTCAAGAACGTTCTTGCGCGTTGAAAAGATAGAAAGGCTTTGCAGTCTATTGCGGTGAACAGTCTATGTTAAACAATCGAACATACGAGAAAATGAACATGGACTAAATACCCTGTCTGTTATAATGATGAAAACTGGCCAGATCGAGAGATTTTTAATCTTGGCTAAGTGAGTTGTAATATTTTTCACACAGACATGTGCAGGCCTTGAACAGTACGCTATCCAGAAATTTGCCGAGTCTCTTGAGATCATTCCCAGGACCCTCGCGGAAAATGCCGGCGTCAAAGCCACGGAAGTAATCTCTAAACTGTACGCTGCCCACCAGGGTGGGGACAAGAATGCGGGATTTGACAATGAGGTATGGTTGTTGCTTTTGAGTTAACAAATAAGAGTCATGAAGATCTTTGCATGTCTTTTATTTGTTCGTAATTGAATAGGGTGCTTCGGTCTTAGCACGAGAGCTGTCCGGGTTTTAGCCTTGGCAAGTGCCATTGTGTTGTTTTCTTTGGCGAGGACTTGAACTCTCAAATGGCCTCTGTCTTCCAAAGTTTATGAATGCCGGGTACTGACGGCCATTAGGCTCGAATGCAAACTTTTATACCTTACCTGAGAAAACAGTCCTTGTTTCGAAAAAATTCGTGAAAAAAATTATATACTGACAATATAGTACTTGAGAATTCCATTTAGTATCTATGATTCCGGCGCAGTGAGTAGCAAATCACAGACGCATCGTGAATGTCCGTAGTTTACAGAGTTCGTTCCGGCCGGCTTGTTCAGACACGAAAATAAGAGTCGGGCAAATTACTTGGGGGAGGGGACGGGTGGTAGAGAGCATCACTGGCACAATGCACTCTTCTGTTTAAATTCTCCTGCCTCGCCACCGGCTTTGATTCTTCTCGAGCAAAATTTGATTTTTTTTCCCCCTTTTTGTTACCAGGGCGGTGGTGCTGCAGTGAAAGATGCGGTGAAAGCTGGGATTCTCGACTTGTATCTTGTTAAGTACTGGGCTCTCAAGTTCGCTACTGATGCAGCTGTTACAATACTTAGAGTAGACCAGGTATGAAAAGCTTCTCAGTATGTTTCCAGGTAGCGTAGAGATATAGCTTTGGGATCTGTCGAGGGCGCTATCGGCACGGTGAAACACAATGTCTGCTCAATTTTTTTTCTTGATCGCTATATTCTCAGCGCAGGATAGGTTCCGAAAATTATGGATCCGAACGAATCATCAATATTCTGGAGAGACTTGTAATAAATCAGAAAACAATCACAGCAAACGTAAATAGCACTAAGGACTAATGGGAACCTGAAGAAAACTTAGTAAATGGTTTCAAGCGCGGGAAAACGCGTGAACACGTGCGTAAGTTGGGCGCGCAATGATTGAAAGTTTGATTTTGGCTTTCCTCGTGATTGGTCCAGAAAACAGCTTGTCTGTCTTGATTGGCTAGAGCGTGTTGCGTGGATATGTTTGTAGGCGGAGAAAAAAACGCAATCTGTACTCAATAGAACACTGCTAATTTTATGGCGTGCGAGCTTACTGGCACCTGTTTTCCATTTCAGATAATCATGTCAAAACCGGCAGGAGGACCAAAACCGAAGGATAATCCCAACTGGGATGAAGATTAACCTCTGAATTGTGGATTGAGAACAAACCTTACTCGAGAAAGAAGAATAATCTGGCCTGCTGTCTGTTCCATTGTAGACTCTCAACAGTTTCCCTATTTTTCCCTGTTCCATCTGCGGCTGTTTGCCAAGCTTTGACCGTGACTTTGCAGCCGAAACTAAACGACGGCACGACTTCGTTTCGTCCGCAGCTCTCTCATGTTTTCGTCCGTTCAAATGCGTGACGATAAACTGCAGGGTTTAATAGAGAAACTGCTCGGTCTCAGTGCCTTTGCAAAGTGTCTTGTTGAACTTTAAATTAATCCCTGGACACCTTGTCAGTCATGGGCGCGACATTGACCATTTCTTGACGTAGAATGTTGCCTTGTTACCCAACAGAAAAGCATAGCGCACCAATAAATACCAAGTGTGAACTACTGTTGTCCGAGTCACTTGATTGAGTTTCAACAAAGTTGCGGTAATGATGAGCAACTTCAGTATATTTGAATGCCGCGCGCCTCTTCGACTTGCTCCCTTCCGGTCTCGTAGCTCAGAATCTCCCCGAGGTGAAAATAATTTGTCTTCACTTTGTGTGGTCCCGCATTTCATAACTATGGCTAACGCTCAAAAGAGAATTGATGCGTTTATTTCGTCGTTTAAAATTATCCAAGTCGGTGATCTTCCGTCGTTCAGTGCAACCTGGTCAACTACAAATTTCGGATTTCAGGACACTTGCACGTGAGCAAAAATCCAAGAGACACTTAAATAGAGTTCAAAGCTCTTGCCTTTTATTGCTTTTCCTTGTGAAGTTAGCTGTAGGGCATATTACATCATGAGTTACGAATAAAGCCCCTGTTTCACTAGGCATTGTCTCTGGCGACTTTGTCTGTCCAGAGATGTTTATTTTGCTACGAGTTATTTTTCTTCGAGAGCTTGAGTTATGTGTGCGCAGAGCAAGAGAGCGGCCGAGAAGCGGGCACAAGTTTGTCCGTCCCCAGAGCCACCCCGCAGGGGCACCCAACGACCGTTTTCTCTCTAATGCTGTTAGATGCTGTTTTAGGCTATCTGGAGTACTTTTAAAGCTCTGTAGGTTAATTTCAGGTTGCACTAAAAAAATTTTATCTGTTCGGATATTCTAGGGGAACTTGAGTATTCTCGAATTTATTAGGGCTTTTTTGTCCATTTCCCGAAAACCTTA